ATGTAAAAAGTGATTATTCTTCTTAAACATAACTAACGTTACATACTTTTGCGTCCTTATAACACTCTTACACGATGTAACGTCGAAAAGAATAGTTACACATACGCATGGATTTTACAGCATTATTGCTAGTGGAAAAATCAAAAGCGTGTAGAACATATTCTCTCATTCTAGAGTTTAAGTATATTGTAATCAGCGAATACGTCTTTGTACAACACGATTTTAGTACTCGCTATATAAATCGTGCGAATCACATTCGCAAAATTCACTTGTCGTTTCGATATTATAACTACGATATTAAACTATTCCGATCGACGTTGCATGGTCTAAGGAAATGTAGAATAAGTATTTATCGTCAATTTATGTGGATGTAGAAAGATAGAAAAGACAACTAATTTGCCTTGTGTTATCGCAAAATTGACTCGCAAATAATTTGATAAAATTCGCTATTTTAATTTAAAATAATGAGTGTTTTAGCGTGAATGTTTACGACGTAAAAGCGAAACGAGATGAAATCCGCGCGTCTGCTCGTTCTCTGTTGCGTGGACGCCGGTTAAGTTGCAAGTATCAAAAACTTTGTCAAAAGACGACATTTGCTCATTACGCCTTTATGTTTATAAATTCCATATGCATTCAAACGACGCGAAAACCAAAAGACATCTAAAGACATATAAAGGCGTTTAAAAGTTTTCTTTAAAAAGAAAGAAAATATATCTAAATGATATTTATTTATTAAAGTTAATGGATCGATTTATCAATTAATTATCTAGAATCTTTTTACCTGGATCAACGTGATCAATTGAAAAGCGTACGTAAAGGACGCCTGAAAGGTGTCTTAGACGTTTCAATGAGACTTTTAAGACCACTTAAATGGTGCCTGAAAGGCGAGGGCGTCTTTTAATTTTAACTCGCGTTCTCCGGTTAGTTTTTGTGTACAACGGACGTTTTAATTATGTATTCTGTCTAGTTTGGTACCTTCGTGTAGTGTCAATAAACATTTAATTCTGACCCATTTCTCGCGGTGATGGCGGATCAATTATGCAAGAAGGAACTGATTGCAAAATAGAAGCGAGACAAAGTCTAAGTTCGTCCGTGCTTATTTAACTGCAATTGTTAAACTGTGGTTTAACAATCGTTAATTGAAATTTCATAAAATTCATGCGCGAGTCCTGTTATAATATGACACTAGAATACAGAATTTTTATCGTTTCAGAGTTTTCTTCTCTCTCGCGATGCGTTCTTTCTCGCTTAATTATGTCCAGCTATCCGTGCGAATCAATGAGAGGTTCAACGGCACTGTATTTTTCCAAATTATTGGATTCACGAGCAAATCCAGATGTCCATTGGTCTCAGATTCATTATGATAATCAAGTTCATCGAAAACCTTTCACGCTTCTCGATCGAGCGGCAAGCAGAGTTCAGCCGCAAGGAATATGTATTGTGCCGTTCGGAACTTTCATTGCTGTATCGTTATTCATTCGTGTGTCGACGCGAATACCTTAGGAAGAGAAAAAGTCGGTTGTGATAACATTCACGACGTAGCACTGTCTCTGATCGAACGTGTGCCTCGAAAGCATCCTTGGAAATTATTCCCGAGACCGCGTACAATCTCCTGTTTCTCGGAGAATTTTTACTGGTTTCCGTCTGATCACACCGTCGCATTCTGATGTTTTCCTATCCGATACGATGTATGTATGTACAGAGAAAGAAACGTGCGCCGAAATGCGAAAACCAATTTGCCGAGCTCTTCTTTCTTCTCCAAAGAAATAAAGATCCTCCGATCTCTTCTCGCCATAGCGATCTCTTCTTTTCCCCAAAACTGCTCATTAGAAAGTTAGTGCGATAGCTCGTCGTTTCGCGGAAAGTTTGCACGCATAAAAAAAAGACGCACAAAAAAAAAGATGAATAGATTTTACGAAAATATATAAATAATTGTGCGAGAAAAGAGAGAGAGAAAGAGAGATTCGGTTACGTTCGTTGAAGCGATATCGATGACACTTGCTGCTCGTGTGTTTGTCGTGATATTTCTTCCTAAGCTAAGATATACATATACGAAGTTAAGAGTTACAATGCGGACCGTTAAAATAGTTTCTCATGTTATTATCGACGTATAACAATTTCGAGGATGACAAAACCGTTAACCGAACAAACGAAACATAATTTCTCTCGAAATTTAACTCCACCATGTTCTTATATCCCCCGATATATTCCCTATTCTATCTATACTCTATAATTTCGCTCTTGCCTAAGGGATCGTAGCGTTCTTGGCTAATTAGAGTTTTGCCCTTAGAATATCAACGATATTCAAGTTAATATTGCGAGTTGCATCGCTTATGCATCAAGAATTCTATAACGCTAATTCTAATCGCTGAATCTTCAAAAAGACCTATGCCTTACAAAACTTTTCTCTGCATCTTATTCTTGCCAACATGTTCTAGTATCTACTTCGATAACGTTCGTTGAAGACGCGTAACTCGTGAAGCTATTAGTTGAAACGATCCTCTTTCTTTCTAAAAAATTTAGAATAAATTTACGATACACTTTGTATTTGTGATGAATTGTTAGAATTAATTAAAACGTATGATTCTTTTGATTTTTCCCTCAATATGTTGAATTTAATCGAACGATAATATAATTTCAAGACATTGCTAAAATTTTTTTGTTCTTCCCTTGTGTTAAGAGAGAGCCACAGAAAAAGATAGATTGAGAAAAGAATAGATGGAGTTCAGCAAATCTAAAACTTATTATGCGGATTTAGCATCTATAACTAAGAAAATTTGATTCAAACAAAAAAAATTATGTCTGTAAACAATTATTAGTACACTAATTCAATTAATTCTTTGCTGCAATGAAAATTGCTAATGTAACGAATGTATAAATGTTTTCTTTATTACAATAGCAAAAAGTACGCATTTTTTCTTAGCTAACATGTTCTGTTAAAAATTTTCATCTCTATATTGTATTGATTTTTATAGAAAGTTATCTTTGCTGTATTAACTTTATTGTGCTATTACAACAAACATAATGATCCTTAATCGTTAATTTTATTCAGCTGTACAACTTTGCATAGAAAACTAGCTGTCCGTAATTACGGTTATAGATTTACTGAATCAGTGAAGTTTTAAATTGTTTTAATAAATCTTTTTTTCCGTGGCTAAGTTTATATTTTATTTCACTAAACCATAAATCGATCAGAGATGTATATTTTATCTTAATTTTCATCCTTTTCAGCCTTTCTCATCTATCACCTATAATTATTTCTTATATTTAAATTTCAAAGTTGCTCTCATCGATCCATGCATTCGATATTGTTTCACGTTTAATCGATTGAGTCTTCGCGAGCTACGCGGCTCGAAAGTCCAACGTGAAACATGAAAGTTAATTGTGAAAAGATTCATAATTAGAATATTACACAAAAAATTTTCTGTCAGTTTCCGATGTTTTTTCTCGTAGATGTATAACACAAAGGAACGTAGACATTCTGCGATAGAGATTAATCTCCTTCCTCGTAAATCCACCTATTTCGACGCGTATGTTTTCTCACGATCTTCTCGGTGTCTTGCAATATCACTTATTGTTTAATAGCCACGGAAATAATTGTTGTGATCCCTCTGAGGATTTTTCCCCCTCTAAGATTTCGAGCCGAATCGTCTACAGGCGATTTCTTTAAACGTATTCGACACTCTCTCTAATTCTCATTCTTTCTGTATTTCTATAATATGAAATTTATTATTGTTACTTTGATATGTGGTATTTATCGGTGCTAAGTGTACGATGTACGTGTTCTGTCTCATATTGCGTTTTTATACCGCACAGCGGATAATTATAATTTGTCAAACTTTCGCATGTGGTCGCGTCTGAAGCCGCGTCTCCCAACATCTCCGCGTGGACGTTCAGTGCATTTCTGTCGAACTCGCGTGACAGTTTGAAGCGAATATCGATATATGTAAAAGAATTCCAGATGATAGAGAATCTCGTGGATCTCTCCTTGCGACGCGATCGCCGATGCGGCTGGTGCGAAAGTTATGCGGCGGCGGAGTTTTATATTGTAGCAATTGCATAAAAATCCGCAAATTATTATAATTTAATATTAATTTACTCTCTCAGGACACAGTTAATTTATTGTTTTTTTCCTCTTTTTTTTTCTTTTCTTCTCTCCGCGAAGACACGCAATGCGATATAACGTATGTGATAATACATGCTGACGTCGTACAAAAAAAAAGTTACGAAAATCAAAGCGCACGTTTCTTCTTTTTTTTCCTTTTCGTTTTGCGTTCCGGTACCGACAACGGAGAACACCGGTAAGATATTAATGTTGTGTATATGGTGATCGTGAGGAGTTATAAAATTTTTATTTGCTTTACGCCTTATACATATATTTACTGTAAGTGATAATTATTACTAGTTGTTTATTATAAATAAGAACGAATCACTCTTGTGTATCAGTTAAATTGCTACATTAAAGTGTTGATATTATACTCGTTCAAAATGCGTCTCAATCGATTTCCTCGGAAATCTCACCTTCGAAAGAGCACTGATTGCTTTAATCGCAACTTCCCTTACGTATCTAACCGGATTGTCCATGCGTTCCATCTCTACATTTATTGTTTAATTATTCACTGGAATTGCCCTGCTTTTAAATTGAGCGCATATTATTATTATATTATTGATATACTATACATATATATATATATAT